CTGTTAAAGGTGCCAAGTATGAAATAATTTGGGGACAAAAAAACAAACCTGCATAGAAATCGGAATAATAGGTCTTTTGATTACCGGGGACACATTTCAATGGACTTGATTACGGACAATGCATGACGTAAATTTCACCAGGAAATTCGGCAGTGTGCTCTCGCAATCGCGGTCATTTTTGCAAGGTTCGCCATTTTTGATGTCACGTGATAATTATGTAAACAATGACTGTCCAGTTTGTGCGAACTTGTACCTTTATACTTAGTCTTTTGAAATATATAAGCTAAATCACTGTTCTGAACGAGACAACAGACAGAGAATGTTTTATTCGAAAACGTCACAAAACTCTTCTCGCTACCTTAAGTTAATTCTCATCACAACGCGCCGCCAAACCAAGCGAATCCACAAATTTTGAGAATTGTTGTTATATAAAGTGCACTGTTTATTTACTGATTATGTATCGTACATTTCAAAAGTCAATAATCTACAATTTGATTTTTAGAAGAAAACAAAAACAAATGATATACTCTAAATATGCATGTCGGTCATCCCATTCTGGAATTGCATAGATCATTATTCTCAATAAATGTATTAAAGATTCAATTCCGTGCAATGTTTACTTAGACACTGGCTAAAGCTTTTCTCATTTTGGGGGAATATACATAATGGTGTGTATGACCATTTATAAAGTAACTAACCACAAAAAATACGCATCCAATCTGATCACAATAAATATCGTTAGTTCCTGAGGCAGTTTTTTTTTAAACAATAATTTTTCATACGCGATACAATGTTGGATAACACACACCATGACATTAGTCGTATTTATTTATTTATTTATTTATTTATTTATTTATTTATTTATTTATTTATTTATTTATTTATTTATTTATTTATTTATTTATTTATTTATTTATTTATTTATTTATTTATTTATTTATTTATTTATTTATTTATTTATTTATTTATTTATTTATTTATATAGCATAGCGTATTTCATCAACTGTTCATTTAAGTGTGTGGTAATGATATATTTAACTTTCCTTGTATTTGAAATGCCCTTTTAGAACTATATATTAACGTAATCAAACACTGGGTCAGTGACGTCATTTTTAAGGATATTACGTAACATATGTCAAAACCTAACTAAATTGATAAACTTATAACCCAGTTTGTACTCTGAATGTATATATATGGAAATTCTCTTCTCAGATTTGAGAAAACTGCTTGAACATCATTTACACCTTCTCATTGTATTTGGGTGTTGATGTCAATAAATTAGAAAAGAGATTAGTAAAATCAATAAACATCCATAGACAATATCGTGGTTTGCGAATATCTTTCTGCTAATGTCTTTTTGAAAAGGTGATAGCTGGGTACCAGAATAGACATTAACAACGTAATCTACGGAAAATATCTTGCTTAATATTAAGTCATGGTGTTATCATTATTTTTTTTACATTGTTTTACGTCATCTTCCAAGATTTGAGATCCTTTCGAATTAAAATGTTAGTTCCCATTGCCTACATCTTTTGATTAAATTTTGTTCGTATTCATATTTTTTTTAAAATCACAAGGAATGTCATTGTACAGAGCCCCTGATTTCAGGAGTGTAGTGATGTTTAAACTAAAAGTGCTTTCTTAATTACAGGTCCAATACATACTACACTCCAGAAAGGTGTAGTCGATATAATGCCATGGTTACAATGTAGACAATTATGGGGAAATTGGATTACAGATGACATGACCTGCGCAGGTAGCGGGTCAGTAGGTGTGTGTTCGGTAAGTTATGCACGTTATATTATTGTCACAATTTATAATCAATTGATCAAAGGTGAATTTAAGATTAATTCTTCGGTAATCCTAACCCTAAATCCCAACCCAATCTAAACAAATTGAGAAATACAAAATAGATGTGCTCACGTTCATGTCCCTCCCACTCTGGCATTGAAAAAAACAAAAAAAATAGATGTGCTCACATTCATGTCCCTCTCACTCTGGCATTGAGAGACAAAAAAAATAGATTTGCTCACATGCATGTCCCTCTCACTCTGGCATTGAGAAACACAAAATATATGTGCTCACATTCATGTCCCTCTCACTCTGGCATTGAGAAACACAAAATATATGTGCTCACATTCATGTCCCTCCCACTCTGGCATTGAGAAACACAAAATATATGTGCTCACATTCATGTCCCTCCCACTCTGGCATTGAGAAACACAAAATATATGTGCTCACATTCATGTCCCTCTCACTCTGGCATTGAGAAACACAAAATATATGTGCTCACATTCATGTCCCTCTCACTCTGGCATTGAGAAACACAAAATATATGTGCTCACATTCATGTCCCTCTCACTCTGGCATTGAGAAACACAAAATATATGTGCTCACATTCATGTCCCTCCCACTCTGGCATTGAAAAAGAAAAAATAGATGTGCTCACATTCATGTCCCTCTCACTCTGGCATTGAGAGACAAAACAATAGATGTGCTCACATTCATGTCCCTCTCACTCTGGCATTGAGAAACACAAAATATATATGCTCACATTCATGTCCCTCCCACTCTGGCACTGAGAAACACAAAATAGATTTGCTCACATTCATGTCCCTCTCACTCTGGCATTGAGAAACACAAAATAGATGTGCTCACATTCATGTCCCTCTTACTCTGGCATTGAAAAACAAAAAAATAGATGTGCTCACATTCATGTCCCTCTCACTCTGGCATTGAGAGACAAAACAATAGATGTGCTCACATTCATGTCTCTCTCACTCTGGCATTGAGAAACACAAAATATATGTGCTCACATTCATGTCCCTCCCACTCTGGCACTGAGAAACACAAAATAGATTTGCTCACATTCATGTCCCTCTTACTCTGGCATTGAGAAACACAGAATAAAATTGCTCACATTCATGTCCCTCTTACTCTGCCATTGAGAAACACAAAATTCTATATTTCTCTTACTCTGGCATTGAGAAACACAAAATATATGTGCTCACATTCATGTCCCTCCCACTCTGGCATTGAAAAACACAAAATAGATTTGCTCACATTCATGTCCCTCTTACTCTGGCATTGAGAAACACAGAATAGATGCCCCTCCTACTTGTATAAACAGCTTTACACAACATATATATACACAACTTAGTACATTCTATAACTCTATTCTGGTATAAAAATCATAACATGTATATTTGCTCACGTGTGTACATTCTGATCAGTGATTACATTTGCCGAACATCTTTTATCTCTACAATTGTTTTGAGTGTATCTGATGGCATTACAATTGTAATACGACATTGTGGGCCAAGCTCTAATCACACAACAAAGTTCACTTACAAGGGCCATCGAACACAGGAAATAACAACCAGTGAGTTCAATTGACCAACCCATACACACAATACAAGATGATTGCCATGCAGCTTAATTTGTTTTTTAATTAGGGGGACAGTGGAGGACCGTTAGCTTGTTATGATGTACGTCAAGACCGCCTTGTTCTTCATGGTATTACAAGCTGGGGTCCTGTTCCATGTGGAGCAGATGGCCTTCCAGATGGATATGCTCGCGTTAGCGTATTTCGTGATGTTATTATGGATGTAGTGAATGAACAAACTACCACTGAGGCTCCAATTACTACTCCAATTGTATCCACTGCCGCTCCCACTACCACACCAGTTGCAGCTACCGCTGCTCCCACTACCACACCAGTTGCAGCTACCGCTGCTCCCACTACAACACCAGATGCAGCTACCGCTGCTCCCACTACCACACCAGTTGCAGCTACCGCTGCTCCCACTACCACACCAGTTGCAGCTACCGCTGCTCCCACTACCACACCAGTTGCAGCTACCGCTGCTCCCACTACAACACCAGATGCAGCTACCGCTGCTCCCACTACCACACCAGTTGCAGCTACCACTGCTCCCACTACCACACCAGTTGCAGGCACTGTCGTTCCCGATGGAGGAGGAAACAACGAAAAAGGACGAGGAAAAGGACATGGAAGGGGAGGAAAAGAAAAAAAGCAGTGAACCAAAAAATACGAGACTTCAAAGAAGCTTTTAACGCTCTACGATGCAGTCATAGATAAACAAAATGTCATTTAATTTGAAATCTAGTGTTTATTGCGAGTTCTAGATAAACTGTTGTGTACGCATTTGCTCCATTCTTCAGTTTATGTGTAATACAAAACAAAAATAGAATATCTCCAATCAAATTGATGTAGTGTATATTATTTGAGTGAGAGAGGGAGGGGGAGGAGCATAACACGTGCACAGCTCCCGTTCTTAACACGCACACATTATCTTTCTTTGACCAATTTGGTTAGAATTCAAATACTTGACCAATAACTATATAATGAGCAAATATTAAAACATACCTCACCATTAATTGTTTAATTAACGTACTAGTGCTATAACATGAACGTGTCAATGTATGCATTAAACAGGGCCACTCGTATTGTGTCTGCGCGGGAGGTGGAAAGTAACCGGAACCGGAAGGAATATATATTATGTTGTAATATCAGTTCTTATTCTGGTTGTATACTCTAAACGGCAGTAGATATCTGGTTAATCCATCCATGGGGAGGACTTCATTCAGTGAAAGTTATCATCTTTTCCTGGTGTGGGGATATGGGCTTGAATGACTGACTGATTAACTGCTACACAGAGAAATGTCGTTTCAAGTTTGTTTGTTTGTATGAGTGTGTGGGCCAGTTGATATCTATTATGGATGCCAAAGCAGTCAGTGTTCAATGACATTTGGGTTTATTGGGAGATTGGACTCGGATTTAGTTCCAAGACTCCAGTAGTGTTACAAACTACTGAAAAATGTAGGGGAATGTATATAATCAATATCCAATGGGAACAAACTCTAGGGTATTAAATCCTCCGTATAAAGGTCCACAGACTGGTTTTTTGGTGAAATCCTCCATTTATCAGGTTAGTTCCTAGCCCTCCAGATCCAAATTAGAATAGTCCATCCGAGTCAATCCATTCTGACTGGTTTTTCAAACGTCAGGCACCAACTTTTATAATGATTACGATTAGGTTGCATATTAATGGAGACTGCAACCAATCAAGCCCAAATGTCCGACTTTGCCAGTCTAACTAGGGGTGTGTGGGCCATTACCAAAGAGGATAATAACACCATGTCGAGATGCCTAGCAACAAATTGCTATGCGGGCTGTAAACCTTTGACAGTTGGCCTACTAGTTTACAAGCTGGATTGTTCATTTGTCCTATAGACCCGGCATACCCCAATTTCAAATTGTTCTAAAAACTCAACTTTGCCTAAATTTCCAAGAGCCAAAGCAGGGAATAATTCCATCACATTTTTAAATCATTCTCTCAAAAATCTAGATGACTAGATGCTTGATATATATGCAATATGCATAGCAACCACATGACGTAAAACGCAGGATCCTCGTTCTGTATTTTCTGAGTCAGAAATAATGCACACTTTCAATACGTGTGGTTTGTGTGTTCTCCCTTCGCTGGACGCATGGAGTCAGCCACTGCTGGCGCTGTATGCAATCAAAACCTACTAGTATTAAACTACAATGTAAAGGCCAGAAACAGTTGTTAAATTTGGTGACCAGTTTAGTATAATAGAAAGCGTGTACAGTTTTCAAATTACCACAACAGACAGAGTGGGGGTCAAAACCGAATATACGTGATTCCGGCTTTTCATACTAAATGCTTTCTATTAATAAATGCACTTTAAAATAATGTTCATGAGATATGTCTACGTCATAACCTTGTTAAAGGTTATTAGCATTTTGTGTACGCAGTGCGCATGCTTCGGGCCCTTTTCCCGTATTCCACAACAAATGCGTCATCACAGTGAGGTCAACTGCAATTCACGTTTTGTGGAAGTGACGTTCAGCACCGTCAATAAGGTTTGTCAATCAAACCACATTGATGGTGCTGAACGTTGTGTTCGTAGGCAGTGGCGGCGGCGAAACAAATGTTGGGGTTGGGGGGTTGTTCGCCCCTCCAAAATCAAGCTGAAACTCTTTGTGTCAACAAAAAGTGACCCCCAAAATACAGGAAATAGCATTTCAGAGGGTATATATTTCATTTTTTGTAAGGGGAGCATGCTCCCTAGTAAGGTCGCGCATTCGGTGCAAGGTTGGTGATCAGACACCCCCCTGCAAAATTTCGTGTTGCCGCCTCTGGAAGGCCACACATAAGCGGCGCTGGCAGATATATACCGTATATAGTATTTGAATAATAACACGACATCTCCCACCTTTTCAAAAGTAACATTATTTCAACATTTCACTTGCTGATGTCACTCCAAATGGAAAACGTATAAAGTAATATCTGCCCTCTGGAGTTATAAACGTCGGCAACTTTGAACTATCTGGATGTAGCTCCATTTGGTAGTAGCCCGGGAAGCACATATCGCTTTTGTTTGACGGCCTTATTTAATTCGCGAAGATTGACGCATATATGTCCAGAGTCAGCTTCACGCTTTGGTACGACAACAATAGGAGAACACCATTAAGTCGGCTCTGTTATTTTCTCTATGATGCATGCGTCTTCCATACGCTTTGGTCCCTTTTTTACTTTTGGCAGCAGCGGACCCAGAATGTAGCGGGCGACAATCGCATGGAACGGGACAGCGTTCGCGCGCATATTTATTCATACTGGCTCGCCTTTCATCTTGCCTAATTTGCCTTGAATTTCGTGTACCGGTATATTAAGTGTAATTAATCCCATGTTTTCTGCAGTTTTCCTGCCCAGTAGATTATTCGGTGACTCCACCACATACCATTCAATTTGCTGTGGTATACTACATTTGCTGTGAATGTTCCCCTGTAGTTCAGTTTACTGGACACACTTCTCAGCACATGATTGGTCGGTTTCAATGGTTCGGTTACTTCTCATCTTGTCATATGTCCTTGTAGATATGACGCTCACATCTGCGCCTGAATCAATCTTAAATTTCACGGCATTTTTGCAAATTTCTAACTCGATAAACCATGGACTTGAATTTTCACTGTTTGTCACAGTCCCGAAAAAACGATCATTCTTACCGTCGTCTGTTACTTCTTTAACTACTTTTGTTTTACAGCACCTCGCGTAGTGACCAACGCGATGACATTTATGATACTTGGCATTCGAAGCTGGACAATTTGTGCTATGACGTTTCCCACACCTGCTACACCGGTTTGCGTGAGCATCATTCGTATGTGATTTTGTGCCTCGGTACTTATCATGGACTTTTCCTTCACTTTGTGCCATCCCTTTATCTCTTTGTTGCTGTCTCTTCATTTCATCTACTTGTTTAATTGGATCGGCCTATTCGGATAATTGTAATTTCACCATTTCGGATTGGCATACAAAATATATCGCCTCTTTGAGCGTTAACTTCGGTTTCATCTGGAGCTCGTGTGACACTGTTTTGTCAGCTATGCCGATCATCAGTATGTCTCTTATCGGTCGTCTTTCTGATCGCCATAATAACAATGTTCAACAATTTCATATAAGCATCGTATGTACGCTTCCACCGATTCACCGGGTCACTGCATGTACGGTGGCCCATATATACAATTGGTCCGCTACATGAAAGTCTGTCGGCTATTTGAAAACTGTTCCGCTACATGAAAATCGCGCCCTTCCATGAAAATCGCTCCGCTACTTGAAAAAAATCGGTCGGCTACTAGTACTTGAAA